TCGCTTGGCAGGACCTACCACCTAGGAGTCCGTCACGTTCACTGTCACCACCATCACCTTCTTCGAGCAACAGGAATCAGATGTCGCAAGGACGATCTCCAAGCCCTCACCTTGAAAACTGACGTCAACAATCTCTCGAGGCGAGGCTGCTGACTTTCGGCGTGTTGAAGACCTCAACCTTCAATCTACGCGACTTTGGACCACCGGCCATTCGATGACGCCTGTATCTCAGCCTAGTTGATTTTTATGTGGGCATGCCTGTGCTCATCCACAGTCGAAATGTAACAGCCTTAGTAGACACTGGCTGTAAATTACTCGATTACTAGCGGAGAAGTGGCAACTCTACTGAAAAGTGTTATCACGCTTTGGACAGGGTCACACGTACGCAGAGTGCGAGGACACGTCGCGTCAAGCCCCTTGGTGTGCAGAGTGCCAGGCTGAAAATACGAGGTTCCACGTTTTTGGTTAGCTCCCTCGTGCTATACGTAATTTTTGCCGCGAATTGATTGTGGAAATGCAATTTCTTCGGGAATACGGTGCCATCATCGACTGGCGCGGACGCTTCATTTCTTTTTCTATAGCCAAGACTACGTTAAAGAATAGCTGCTGCCGTGCAGCCACCCTTCGTGTTTCCCATGATAGCGTCACAATACCACCTCGTGCGAGTATCATAATCAAGGTAACTTCCGAGGGCACAAGCGATGGTTAAACACTGAAAGAGTGCGACGTCTTCCAGTTACTAGCACTTTGACTAGCGGTGGCACGAGGCATCATACGGAATAAGAACGGTCAAAGCGCTGTCAAGATCACAAATTTTACAAATGAACATCGTCACCCTTTCTGTGGCACTGCCGTCGCCTACTCTGAAGCATTGGAGGACGTCATCGAGTGTTTTGCGTGCGACGACAGTGCCCGAAATGGAACAGTCCTTAATTGATGTTACGTCAACAATGCACAATTTAAAGAGAACCAGAAGGCCTTGCGACAGCTAATACTTGAATTCCACGCGTGATTTGCTCAATCGCCTAAAGTAAGTAAAACACCGATCACCGAAATATTCAATTAAGATAATGCGTAACCTATCCACCAACAGTCAAACCATGTGTCGCAGAAAGAATGCCAAGCAATCAAGGAGCAAATGAGGGAAATGATCGACACCGGTGTTATTCAGCCTCCTAACAGCTCGTGGTTATCACTGGTCGTCCTGGTGAAAAGATGGATGGTACGCTTCGCTTATCTGGTGATTACAGAAAGCTCAACAACGGCCCAAAAACGGACGTTTATTCGCTGCCACCTATTGATGACTCTCTTAACCGGCTACGGCAAGCGAAGTCTCTTTCTTCCGTTGATTTGAAAAGTGGCTTTTGACAAGTCGAGGTTGAAGCACGACCACGAAGAAACAGCCTTTGTCACGCCGGATAGTCTACGAATTTCGAGTGCTCTCGTTTGGTCTCTGCTCTGCGCCAGCTACATTTCAAAGCATAGTGAACACTGTGTTAGCCGACTTGGCAAAGCTGCCTACTCTACTTGGATGGTGTGGTGGTGTTTTCAGCCACTTTCTATGAACATCTAAATCGGCTAAGACATGTATTCGAGGCAATCCAATCAGCTAAGCTAACATTAAAGCCTCAGAAATGCCACTTTTGTTACGAGAAAATAAAGTTCCTTAACCATGTCGTGAGCGTAGAAGGCGTCTGTCCTGACCCTGAGAAAACAGCCGCTGTAGCAGCCTTCCCAAATCCTACAAATAAGAAAAGCGTTCAGTGGTTCCTCGGTTTTCGTGCGTACTACCAACGCTTTAGAGGCAATTTTCCGAAGATTGCCGAACCTCTGACTCCACTCACCAGAGACGACACACCACTCATTTGGAGCTCCGAACAAGAAACGGCATTCACCAAGCTGCAGCAGCACCTGACATCATCACCTGTTCTTGAGAACTTCGACGAGGAAGCCGAGACAGAAATACATACTGACGCCAGTAACATCCGTCCTGGCGTGGAACTCGTACAGCGGCAGGAGGGTGTTGAAAGTTATTGCTTACGCAAATCGCACCTTATCAGGCCTGGATTCCAACTACAGCATCACAGAAAAGAAGCGCCTTGCCGTCGTGTGGGCACTTGCAAAGTTTCAACCTTAGCTCTGTGGACGCCCAAAGAGTCGTGACGTATCATCACTTGCGGAGCTGACTAGGAAACCTGAGAGACCCTTCTGGACGGCTAGCCCGGTGGAGCCAACAAATGCAGGTTTATGACGCCACTATCCTCTATAAGTCGGGACGGTTCACACGGAGATGCAGACACGTTGTCACGCGCACCAGTTGAGAACCTGCCACTCAAAACCTCGAAGACGACTGCCCACCCCCCCCCTTTTTTTTTAGCCGTAAGCATAACGGGCATAGCTAAAAAAAGCAGCGAGTGAACGTTGAAATTCAACCTGTAAAGAACGTCTCGCAGGCCGCAATGTATCTCTAACCCTGCATAACCCTGCGTGGACTGTCATCTTTTTGTTTGCGACAGAGCATGTTGTACAAGCAAAAGGCAGGAGCCAGCGAGCAAGTTTATCTATTGATTTTTCTAGCAGGGCGTCGTGACGGAAGGCTATTTGTCTACCAGGACGAACCTTCATCTGTTTATCTGGTCCCTGGGTATCACCCGTACACTCGCTAGAGTAAGCAAGTCTTACTACAGACCAAAACTGGCCGCTTGCTTTAGACACTACGTCTAAGCTCGCTGTGAATGCCAGCGCCGAAATTCCCCGTCAGTGAGGCCTGTAGGAATACTTAACCCTATTAGGCCACACAGGACATGTTTTCATTCTGGTTGGCAAAGTTCTTCTGGGACCATTTCTCTTGTCATCTTCAGTAAACACGTAGATAATCGTCGCTGACAGAATATTTAACCCGCTACGCAGAAACAATGGCGCTTTCCAAAAGCACAGCTTCTGATGTTGCTCAGTTTTTTGTAGAGAGCATCGTACCACGTTACGGTGCTCCAACCTGCGTCTTTACAGACCGAGAAGCAGCGTTTAAGGCAGAGCTCCTTGAACACGTCTTCCAGATAAGCTACACCACTCACCGCAGAACTACAGCCTATCACCCAGAAACGAACGGGTTCACTGAAAGACTGAACAAAACGATGACTGATATGCTGGCTATGTATATAGACGTACCACACAAGATGTAGGATGAGGTACTGCCTTACGTAACATTCGCGTACAATTCCGCTCCACAAGCAGACCAAACGTTTGACTGCCAGTTCCGTCTAAGTTACGATCGTGATGTGCAGACTGATGTTGGATGCCATTTTTTCAATCGACAATCTTGATGAAGACGTCGACTACTTTGTTCAACAAGGCTGAGGAAGCTGCGCCAACTGGCCCGTGTGAACATAAAGGAACAACAAGGACATCGACTACACGGCGCTACAACCTCTGCTACAGACAAGTCGACTACCAACCGGGTGACCAAGTGATAGTTTGGCCCCCTGTTCGCCACAAAGGGCATTCTCCAAAACTTTTCAGCCGCTATTTCGGCCCTACAAGGTGAAACGACGAGTGAGCGACCTGAACTACAAAGCCCTTCCGGACAGAAGCCAACCACCACGGCGCTGTCAGCCACGGCCGGAAATCGTGCACGTGTTACGGCTAAAACATATAACAAATTGTGGCACTCATGGTTTTCTAGACATTAGGTTTTTTTTTTGTTTACCGCAAGCGCATCACCTAACAACGACGTGATACTCTTTCGTGAGGAGCGGCAATGTCACGCACTTCATCTGCTCTTGTGAAAGATGCAGACAAAGACGCGGTAGTTCTCGTGCTGGTGCCTTTATTTTGGTTATTCTGTGCCGACCACTCTCAGGATGACTTGGACCTTCTGTAGCCACATTATAAACGTCGCCTTCGTTCAGAACGTGACAATGACATACAATATGTGGTAATATACATATAATATAGCGGTAATAACGACAACGATAGGAACTCTTTTTCGCTTGTGTGTTTCGCAAAACATATGCAAAGAAGTGACAAAGTACTTTATTGATAGTTGCAGACACTATGAATAAACTGCCCCACCGCAGTGGTCTAGTGGCTAAGGTACTCGGCTGCTGACCTGCAGGTCGCGGGTTCCAATCCCGGCTGCGGCGGCTGCATTTCCGATGGATGCGGAAATGATGTAGGCCCGTGTGCTCAGATTTGGGTGCACGTTAAAGAACCCACGTGGTCGAAATTTCAGGAGCCCTCCACTACGGCGTCTCTCATAATCTATGGTGGCTTTGGGACATTAAACCCACAAATCAATCAAATCAACTATGAATAAACTGGAGAGGTAAACTATGCCATATCTGTTTCAAGTGACTAATTTCCATCACGAACCGAAGTTTTGCAGTAATGAGATACCGAAAATAGTTTGTCAGAATTCATAACCATCTACTAACATTTGGCAGACACGATTATTATCTCAGATAGGGAATACGGCTCTTTACAATGCATAGTGACATGTTAAACCACCATTTGTACGCGCGTTGTAACAGAATGATAAACTGAAGGTCGTACGACATGCTTGTTTTGTTGAAATGCAGGCAAATGAAATTAGAATAAGCAGCTCACGTCAATTTCTCAGAACAATTCAGAGTCTAAAATGGCTTGGCTTGTAAGAAATAAATCTATGTGTCCAACTGAAACAAAAGACAATGCTATCATTCTGCATTGAAGAGCAACTTTTTTGAGTGACAGTTCAACCTCGTAGCTTCTTCAAAGACGTGCATAGCTGAACCGTGTAACAACGCTCTCTAAAAACGCTTGAATTGATTTGCATCCGGACACAAAAAAATTGATACACGTATATTACGTCCAACCACAGACAATGCCCCGAAGCAAGGTTGAAACGATTCTATGGAAACAGCTTCTAAAATTATCGGGGAGCCAGACCTCCAAAATTCGTATAAAAAGGGAGTATCGTTACTAGCTAGGCAGGCAGATTCGTGCAGCCAAGCAGCCGCACCATGAAGTCCACAAGTCTGACTGCAGTGGTCCTCAGCCTGCTAAGTAAGTGCGGAAAAATTCATTTCTCTATACTTCTCGTAACATTCTTCACGGTATCATTACTCTGTCTCTGCAATGAGGAATAATATATTTGCACACCTTAGTACTCATTATTACTATAGTATATAAACAGTTTCTTAAAGACTGTACCATAAATATAGTGGAGGGAACCTTTCACTAAATGTTCTCGCAGAAGGCTAGTCTATATGCAATTAGCACCAATCTGCCTAAACTGTTTCGCAGGTATCTCGAAACCTGTATGACGTAAAAAAGAACACTGCTTAGCCCATTGAAATTTCCTTGATGAAAGTGTCAGAAAGAACTGAAAGTGACCTTTTTAGGAGAGTGCGCTATTCAAAAGAATATAGGCATGTCCGTCCTTAACACCAGCTCTTGAGATTCGCCAATTAAGACCGCATTGCGTATATGGCTTAAACATTGTGCTAGAGTAGATATTACTGGGAAACGTCCATCGCATTGACTTTTCAACTAAACTCTTCTCGAATACACCGCACCTAAGGCCGCCCTCCTGAATCCGATAATTCACGACAGCAACTGCAGAAGTTGTTGCTTGTTTGAGCAAACAATAACTTCTCTAGTTATAACTATGATCCTTTTTCGGAAATTTACTCTGTATTAAAAATGAAATTGTGACTGTCAGTGAGAGCCCCCGCTTTTTTCTCGGCTCATCGTTTAGCGCGTCTCTGATTAACTTTTATGTGTATGTGCGGCTGCTACGGCTTACGATTCTATAAGTTGGCGGTACAGCGTTCGAAGAGCCAGTGCAAGTATTTTTTCTCACTCAGCGCATAAGTGGTGCAAGCTTCACCGAATTAAACGGCATGCAATATGGCAGAGGGCACGTACTGTGACAGTGATGCAGTGGAAGCAACAACTCTGTAGCGTAGTGCTAGCGGCAGCCAGACGGCTAGAAAAAAGGCTTACGAGCGCTGGTAGCGTGTGGCGCAAGGGCCTAGAATGTTCGTGGGCTTCTAGCTGGCTCGACGCCATGGTCACTGGTCTACTTCGGCAGCTCGCTTCCACCTGTACGTCTCGTCCTTTCATTTAACCTGCGACGCCGTCACGTCGCTACATATTGGCGACCCGGACGTGATATGTAGCGACGTGACGGCGTTGCAGGCTAAATAAAAGGACGAGACTTACAGGTGGAAGCGAGCTGCCGAAGTAGAGCAGCGACCATGGCGTCGAGCCAGCTAGAAGCCTACGAACATTCTAAGTCCTCGCGCCACGAGCTACCAGCCCTCGTTAGCCTTTTCTCTAGCTGGCTGGCCACCGCTAGCACTGCGGTACAGCTCGCATAGACGCAGTCGACTTGGGACCGCGATGTCGCCGATGGCCAATTTTAGAGCTTGGTGAGGCATCTAAGGCCTTACTTATGTGTCAGAAAGCGCACATAATTTATAGTAGATACATTCAAACAGTTGTGGCTGATTCGTGAACTGTTTAGAAGCACTAATCATAATTCGAAAGTGCGGATGGTGGACGTATCTCACGAAATATATCGTTGAAAGAATAAGCTAGCGTATGAATGAACTAGCGAGTCACCATGAGTGATTATTTCGTGAGAGCTCCAGTCGCGGATATGACCCTTCGCACAAAATAACAAAAAAACTACCATGCGAAATGCTACGTATGTGTGAGGTTTCTAAACGATGCATGCACCCAATAATTCGAACGCATGCACGCTTTGAAAAGCTGACCTCACATCGCGAGTTCTCCCGGCTGACCAGTCAGCGTGAAAGAGCCACAGAAAGCAATTTGCTTTCCAATATATAGGAGCACGCAAAAACCAACGACGAGTACCAATCTCAATGTAAGCCGCACTCCAGCTTTGTTCATTCATAACAGCAGCGCCAAATCAGTGAAGTTTCGCAATCACAATTTTGAGCGTGTTTTCGCATACATTATAGGCGCCAGAACGAGTACCGCGACCATAAACCAGTCGGTGCAACGACAAGCAGAGCCCGTAAAAATGTATTGTTGACAGAATAGCGAAAACAGCCCCTGCAGAAGCGTAATGAAACTTGAGTGAGAGGTCGCGACTTCCTGCACAATGACGTCCTGCACAATAACAATGAACGTTATAGGAGGCATTAAAATAAGCAAACGTCGAAACATACTGAGAGTGAAAGACGCGCAACTTACTTCGCAAAGCAGATTCGAAAATATAGGCCTGATGTTCTCACTTTCGATTCTATGCAAGCATGTCTTTTGCCACAATTTGTAGCGCTTAACTGGCGGTATCATAAAGAGCTTCCGGCCGTCAATACAATTTATCTCGCGCCATAAGGCGCAACAACTACTCATGGCAACGAACGCCGACGTCATTCTTGGGTGAAAAGTGTTTGAAAGCAAAGCCAGTGCGCACAGAAGTACAAGTGCATATCTGTCGAAACAGATGCTCTGCACCCCAATGAGTTCGCGCCTCGAGAGCAATGATGGTTGTCGGGAGCGACTGTAAAGAAACGAACGCTGCGAATGATCCCACGTGAAGGCGTCTGGCCAATACCGATGCGACGCTGGCCTCAGCGTGGTCGGAGGAGAAAAGAGAGGAGGCGCGCGAATAACTACATACGTGGCTACATTGCGAAAATTTAGGGGCTTTATCTATTAGAAGTCTTCAGTCATCACCCGCATCTGGTGTCATATTTGCGCCAGGTTTTTTCGGTACCTAGTTAGGTCTACCCCAGAGCATACAAATCGGGATAAATAACGTATTGATGCTTAGAACCCCCTGTCAATGCTTGAGACAGTTAAGACATGTTGCGAAAAGTTTCATTTATTGCGCAATCTTCAAGCGGAAATGCAGTCCACCATCAAGAGGGCCAGCGTACATTAATTGCTCCGGCAGTATGGCCACGAGTCGAGACGAGACCGCGGGCATTCGCCGCAAGACTGGGTTCTAATCGCCTATTTTTAGAATTTTCGACGGTGGTGATATTGATGCGCCTGGTGATCTACTTGCAACCTACGATGTTCTCAAATACGACATGATAACATTGAAACGCATCAGTTTATTGTTGAACATCAGCTAGAATATTTGGAAAAAGAAGACGCCGCAGCCTGGATTCGATCCTATGATCTGCGGGTTAGCAGCCGAGTACCTTAGCTAGCAGGTCACCGCGGCGGGGTGAGGGGAAAAAACTATTCAGTGGGTACCATTGCATGCCAAAGGAACTCGGAGGCAAACTTTGAATCATTGATCGTTATAAAAATCTAAAGACCATCATTTGTTTTTACCATTCCCCCCGGTAAACAGAATGGAAGATGTCCAATAAAGAAACGACTACCCACACGTAACTTTCCTTAGTCATAAAACATTCTTTTCGTGCATTTATCATCGCGCTATTTCCGCCATCGCTTTGCTATGAAAAAACAACAACTGAGTAACTCAAGAAAATGTACGTGAAACCCTCGGTACGGGATACAACTACGCCCCACGATGATCGTGTTTAAAATGAATGACTTATGTGTCAAAACTTTATTCGCAGGCCAACAAGTCTTCGCAAACTGGTATGGAAAAAGTTACTATGGTGGCTTCGGAGGTGGATACGGCAGCGGCTATGGAAGCGGAAGTGGACTCAGTGGCTTCGGGAGTGGCTTCGGTGGCGGATACAGCAGCGGATTAGGCAGTGGGTTTGGAAGTGGAAGCTGGCTGAGCGGTGTCGGAGGCGGCCTCGGAGGTATATACGGTATCGGAAATGGACTGAGTGGATTCGGTGGAAACGGTGGCTTGTGGGGATACGGCTATGGCAGCCCGAGGGCCGTTCTTTACCCCATTGTTTTGCCAAGCGGAAGCTTCTGGGGACCTAACGGTGGATGGTACGGAAACAGCCCTGCCGGGTACTGGGGGCCTTCGAGTTCTCCATACAGCGTATGGTTTTCCGGACCATCTAGTGTTAGTCAACCTGGCGCTGGAATGTGGGGTCCCCGCATGATAGGTTCACCTTCCACCTGGTACACGTGGGGCAATCTTGGTGGTCAAAGTCCTTGGGGTGGGCTCTACAGAATGCCGGTGCTTGGAGGAACCGGAGACCTCGGCGGAGTCGGACCAAGCTTGTACGATGGCAGTTACGACGACAGCGCTTCTGTGGGTAGCATCAGTCCATCTAGCTGGAGTAGCCAAAATGGCGGTTCTGGATTTCCGGGAAGCTTCAGCATCTTCAGCAGCCTCAGTGGTAGCAGGGCCCCGCAAAGCGGATTTGGCGGCAGTTTCAGTTTCCTTGGTGACGACACCGACAGCTATAACAGTCTGAGCAGCGGAAGTGGCAGTTACGGCAGTGTGGGCAGTCTGCCTAGTTTTGTTCAACTGGGAGGACTAAGTGGATATGGCAGCATGGGCTACTATAGCAGTCCCTACATGAGAATGTTGTGCCGTGTCACGGGTCTCTCGCCAAGTAGACTGCAGCGCCTTTACAGGAAGTACCGCAGAAGCGGTGTCAGATCCAGCTTTTTATTTATTTATTTATTTATTTCCAATACTGCTGCTCTCATCTGAGAGCGTAGCAGGAGGGCAATACAAAAAGTGCAATATATAAAACATAAAACATTTCAGGAACAATGAAATATCTAATAAATGTAAAAAAAAGAGGTTACAATAAATATAAGGCAAGAACAAATAGCGTTTACCAAAATATATACAATGAATACATTTATCACACTATTGAGACAGGCCTGTAGTTATATCCTCTCTGTGTCGAGGATTAGTTGCTTGTGCCTTCAATTTTATTAACAATTCCGAGAATGATTTGGTGTTTGTGATCGATGGATGTACTTGATTCCATTCCCTAATGGCAAGTGGAAAAAAAGAATGCTTGAAGGTTTCATTACTATATGAATATTCTGTTAGTATATTGGGATGCTGTTGGCGTGTAGGTCGGGTTTCGGAAAACGAAATGTACTTCGACACGTTTATCTTGAAACTGTTGTGAATTATCTGAAACAAGAATTTTAAGCGGGCTTCTTTCGCCCTTTCTAGCAGCGTTTTTAGATTGGATGCGTTTAAAAGGTAAGTTGGGGAGTCAGTGCGCCTGTACCTGTTGTGAATAAATCTTATCGCTTTTCTTTGCACTGCTTCCAGTTTCCTTATGTTAGTCTTTGTATGCGGGAACCAAACCACGTTGGCATATTCTAAAATCGGTCTTATAAATGTCTTATAGGCAAGCAGCTTTATTGGGGTGGGAGCTAGTTTTAGGCTTCTTTTAAGAAAAAATAACTTACGTAGTGCTGCTGCGGAAACGTTATCTATGTGCTGGGTCCAGTTAAGGTCCGAAGTAAGCGTCACCCCTAAATATTTATGTTGGTTTACTTTAGGTAGCATGGTGCCGTCGACTGCATAGTTGAATATTGAGGGCTGTTTTCTTTTAGTTATTGTGATCACAGCGGATTTTTTTACGTTTATTGACATCTGCCATTGTTTACACCATTCGGATATTGTGTTTAGGGAGGCACTCAGCGCAAGGTGGTCTGTATGGCTATTGATTTCCTGATATATAACACAATCGTCAGCAAAAAGTTTTATGTTAGAGTCGATGTTTGTTGCAATGTCGTTGATATAGATTAAAAATAACAATGGTCCAAGAACTGATCCTTGTGGTACGCCTGATGATACAGAAACGGTTTTCGATGTAGCTTGTTCAAAGAATACGAATTGTTTTCGATTGAGCAAAAAGTCCTTAATCCAACTGGCGAATGAGGTGTTACCTAAGATGGCTTCCAATTTCGCAATTAATTTGTTATGGCAGACACTGTCAAATGCTTTTGAAAAATCTAATAGGACCATATCTGTTTGACTGCGGCGATTGAGGCTATGTGCAAGGTCATGTACAACTTCGGTCAATTGTGTAATAGTTGATAAACCGTTTCGAAATCCATGCTGGTTGGGAGAAAAAAAATGTATTTGTTCAAGGAAAGATGTGATGTGTTTAAAAATAACATGTTCTAGTAGTTTGCACGATGTACTTGTAAGAGATATAGGTCTATAGTTCGATACCAGGACTTTATCTCCGGATTTATGTATTGGTATGACTTTAGCTAATTTCCAGTCAGACGGTAATTTAGCGAGCTGCAAGGATTTCCTAAAAATTATTCCGAGATATTTACTACTCCATTCCGCGTACCTTTTAAGAAATTCGTTCGGAATGTTATCGGGACCACTAGATTTCCTGGGATCAATTTTCAATAAAAGATTCATGACACCGGCATCTGTAATGATTAGGTCATCGATGGTCGTGGTAATGCGCGAACTAATAGAGGGTACATTTTTATTTTCAGCTGTGAATACAGATTGAAAAAAGTTGTTAAATGACTCAGCTTTATCTTGTTTTTCTTTTGCAGATAGTTGTGTCACTGCCCCCTTTACACTGAAATGTTTCCAGAACCTGCGAGGGTTATTTGCAAGGAAACTCGGCAGAGTTACGTTAAAGTAATGATCTTTTGCCGCTTTGGTTTTATCTCGTAGATCAGTCTTAGCGTTCTGCAGTTTTAAAGTTATCGACTGGCTTTGGTTATTTTTTGCTGTTTTACGAAGACGATTCACGCGACGTTTTGAGTGAATAACTTCACGCGTGATCCATGGGTTTGACCTCTGCTGTTTTCTAGTTTTTTGGGGAACATACTTATCGATACAAAAAAATATAATTGATTTGAACTTAATCCATAGAGCGTCTATGTCACATGATGCGTCCGACGCGAGTTGTGAAAAGTTGGCAAACTCGTAGTCTAAGTGTGTTAGTATGCTGTTGTCGTCTGCTCTTTGAAAGTCAGCAATCACAGACACTTCGTCACGATTGATTTGGGTATTGCTAATAGGTAGAATGCATAGCGGTATATCGTGGTCCGAAATGCCTTCAATAATACTCGATTTAACGGCACTTATCGGGAAGTGTTGGCTGAGAAGGATAAGATCCAGGATGTTTTTAACGGCACCTTGTGTGCGCGTAGGCTCAGTTACGATTTGTTGAAGGTTAAAGGCAAGCATAATATCAAGGAGAGCTTCAGAGGCTGCTGACGAGTGATGCATAGTATTCCATTCTATGTCAGCAAGATTGAAATCACCCATCAGCAGTACTTTCGAATTTCTCACATTTTGATGCATGAATTCTTGAATGGCCGATATACTTTCATGACCCGATGACGGGCTCCGGTAAACACACCCAATGAACACAGTCCCTGAGTCACACGTGAGTTTACAAAAGATTGCTTCAGCTTCTAAATTGTGCGCCAAAACGTGGAAGGAAAAGCGATTCTTTATCAGCAGAGCAACACCACCCCCTCGCGTCAGACGGTCCTTGCGGATTACAGAATAACTTGGGGGAGCAATTTCAGAGTCGTACACGTCAGGGGTGAGCCATGTTTCAGTGATAGCCACAACATCAGGTTCATATTCAAGCAACAGATTTTCAAGAGCTTCGATTTTGTTTAGAATACTTCTAGCATTTATATTCAGTACAGTTATTTCTTTAATTTTGTGCCTTGACGAGTGTAAGGCCGCCCCTTCGTGTCGTCCTTTTTTTGACGAAGCAGAACTTTGTCATTTTTTTCGTTATTCCAAACGAAGGCTTGGCCATTAATATAGAGTTTGTCGAAGGCTAGTGACACCTTCTCGTGTTTCTGTCGATTTTCTTTTGCACTCTCCCAAAGCCTCTTTCTGACTTCCCGTATTTTACGCGAGAAGTCTTCACCAATGGACAAGCCAGAGTTTTTCAGTTTGTACCCATTTTTGAGTATTCCATTTTTTTGTCTAGAATCCAGCAGTTTGAAAATCACTGGTCTGACTTTATTTGTCTGTGCATTCCCTAATCGGTGTATACGTTCGATTACAACTGGTTCAAGTTCCAGTTTTTCTTTAATAATACCTTCGTTTACGGCTTGTTCTAAGCTTTCACTTGTTTCTCCCTCCTGTTCAGCTAAGCCGTACACAATAAGGTTTGACCGGCGGCTTCGATTTTCAAGGTCATCTATTCTTTTTTGCAGTGTTTCAATTACCTGTTTCATGTTTAATATTTCACCGTGAGAAGCTTCGACTTTCTTTTCTAGTTCCGTTATTGCGTCAAGCTTTTTATCAATATCGGTCAGACGCTTCTCTTTTATCTCTTTTATGTCGGAAGCAATTTCCTTTATCTGTCTTGCGATTTGGGTTAGCTCAGGCCCAGGGTTTGTTTCAATATCGCCCCCAAGGAGCAATAATTTCTTCGCTAGGTCTATACATATTGACACAATTCCACAAAACTGCCGCGGGCACAGCAGCACAAGCAAGAAACGGTTGTCTGATCGAATACAAATTCCATGTTCCCTTCTCACCTGCACGATGAAGACGAAGGGGTTAAGCGTCCGCATTGCCTGAGTGCCGCTGTGCCCACAGCCTGCGTTGTTTGGTGCGGGCGCTTTTGTAGTCGTGGTTATCCGTGGTGGCGCTGCTTGTAGGTCGATTGCACTGGTTGCCTTGTAGTGACGCAACACAGATTCAACTGCCACGAAGAGCAGGATATCTGGTGCGTGTAGTGTCGATGCGTTGAATGCCTGCGCAGTCCACGTGTCCGTGGTCAAGATGGCGTTTCCACCGCTGACAGAGAACAGCAAGTCCGGGAAGAGCTGCAGCATCTGCACGATGAAGACGAAGGGGTTAAGCGTCCGCATTGCCTGAGTGCCGCTGTGCCCACAGCCTGCGTTGTTTGGTGCGGGCGCTTTTGTAGTCGTGGTTATCCGTGGTGGCGCTGCTTGTAGGTCGATTGCACTGGTTGCCTTGTAGTGACGCAACACAGATTCAACTGCCACGAAGAGCAGGATATCTGGTGCGTGTAGTGTCGATGCGTTGAATGCCTGCGCAGTCCACGTGTCCGTGGTCAAGATGGCGTTTCCACCGCTGACAGAGAACAGCAAGTCCGGGAAGAGCTGCAGCATCTGCACGATGAAGACGAAGGGGTTAAGCGTCCGCATTGCCTGAGTGCCGCTGTGCCCACTTACCTGAGGCGAAGGGGCTACCTTGGTGGCAACTATGGTGGATTTCCTTTTGGTTTTACACAAGGTAGTGGAAGCCAGCCTGGACGTAGTGGAAGTTTCTTCAGCTGGGGATCACAGCCGAGTTACTACTACAGCTGGGGAGCTCCCGGAGGAAGCTATGATGGAAGTTCTATCGGTGGTCTCGGTGGATCAAGAAATTACGGATATTCTAGCTACCCGTCCAGCGGAAGCTCTGGCGGCAGCAGCTCTTGGAGTGTAGGAAGTTCTAGCAGTTATAACAGGAAGATCTAGCAGGTTGAGCCAATACAAGTGAAAGTGATTTGGTAATTAGATTATATGTTACAACTCAGAACTAATTCAAAAGCTGCATCATCGCTTCAATATGTCGTGTTACTTGCTGATTTGGCTACCTTGCTTTCTTATTTGAAAATAAAGTTTCTCTAATACCTTCACGCAAAACTGTTTTATTTATAAGGCGTATGTTTATCTCACTCCACACCAAAGGTCATGTTGTATAGAGGCAACAATGATAAATATCATAGACCAAACTGATATTCGGGAACTTTTTTTGTGCAGACACATAAGAGGTGAAAACAAAATCAGGTGGCTTCTGAAAGAAGTGAAAGCAAATTAGAGCCCTGCTTTCAAAGGCATTTCACAGCCCGTCGATTCGGATTTCCCGCGACTGTAAAAACAATCACAGCATATCCACGGCCTGAATGATGATGAGTGGCGCGAAGCGTTCATTCGTCCGTCCGCACATACATCCGTACATCTAACCGTGGCTCGATCTGTCCGTCCGTGCGTCTGTCCGCCTGTCTGTCGATATGTCCGTCCGTCTAGTGAACACTGTAAGTACCACCATCTCGCATTTGTTCATCATATATCGATTATATACAAGTACTGCCACCTAGCTGACATTCCAAGATCTAAACTCCCCTTTTGGCACAAAACCGTGAGAGGTGGTTACTATACGAAGGACGTTCGGGTGACGCCATAAGGAGCTTCGCACCTGAAAAAAAAAAACACCAGTCCTACAAAAAATGCGCAGCATTGTCACAGCGATAGCTGGAAGAGCGGCCTTTCAGAGCCCTTTTTAACACCCTTTGGGTAGCAGCTGGGAGAACACTTGCAAGGTACCCACGGCGCCATATATCTCTCTTTTTAGATGCGGAGCACCTAATACTCGAGGCTTGTAGTGCGGCGCCGTCCGCAAGCTTCCTCCTCCTTCTTCCACCATCTGTGCATCCCTTCCTCCTCTACACACCGCGCGCGCTTCACTCCTCCACCATCTGTGCACCCTTCCTCCTCTACACACCGCGTGCGCTTCTCCTCTTCACGGACATTCGCTAGCTGTATAAAGTAGCGCGCATGCGCCGTCACGCTTCGAGAACATCGGCAGCTGACGCCGCGCATGCGCCGTCGCGTTTCGAGAACATCGGCAGCTGACGCGCGCGCATGCGCCGTTGCACTTCTCCCCCTTCTCGAACATTCGACAGCTGACAATGCATGCGCCGTCGCGCTGTATATATACTCAAGGTCGGCGCTCGCTCGCTCAGTTGCCGCTCGTCGGTTGGTTTGTACGGCGCGTCGACGTCCAAGGCCGCGGTGAAATGAATTCCAACGAATCCACAAACACAATGATCGACGTCCCTTCGACCAGCGCCGCCCTTTCGCATACGTGTGTACGTGTTCACTTATTTAACACCTCCTCCTACAACCACGTTAACCAATTGAGCCATCGACCCAAGTAAGTCGCAATTTAACACCCCATTTCACAACGACGTTAACCAATTTAGCCATCGACCCAAGTAAGTCGCACTTTAACACCCCGTTAACCAATTATATGCTCCGCATCCTCCTCAGTGTTCCCCCGAGGGAAGCTGCGGGCAATTTTTTAGTCAGGCATTCACAGTGACGTCTTTTGTCACTCTTCGGAGAAGCCTGACATTTCCTGCATATTGGCAAGGAACTTTCTGCAATTTTTTGTGTTGTGGTTGGCTAAGATAATAAATTATGCCAGCCAATTTTTAATCGCCACAATCCCCCGCAGTACAGGTATGCACCACAGTTAATAAGTGAACGATATGAAGCTTTCGTGAAAATTTGGTGCATTCGACGACCCACTAGTTACGCGATTCCCATTATGAGATAGCTCTTTTGATGTTCTAAAATCTTTATCACTAAGAATAACGAGAATCCTTTTCCGATACCAAGCCGACATAAGGGTGTTCGTTAAGGAGCTCGGAGCACGCGCATGACTTAGTGCTCAGTCGGTGAAACGGCCTGGATTGGCTTAATGATAGAATACTGGACGGCACTGAGGGGACCCGCGTTCGAATCCCATTGTGGCCTTGGTGTTTTTATTTAGTAGGCTTT